GAATGAGGTGGGGCAGTCCTCATGCAAGACCGGGAACATGGCCCTTCATCATGGGGCAAAGGAGGTAGTGTGGCTGAGGCGTTTGTTGGAGGAGATCGGAGTGTGCCTGAAGGAGCCAACTGTGATATTATGTGACAACGAGTCGGCTGTGAAGCTTGCTAAGAACGCTTGCCTTCATGGGCTGACAAAGCACATCAGGCCCAAGTGGCACTGGGTGAGGAGGCTCCTGGACAAGGAGGTGCGGCTGGAGATTGTGAAGACCCATCAGCAGGCGGCTGACATTCTCACCAAGCGCCTGGCTGAACCTCAGCATTGGAAGGGCATGAAGCTTGCTGGGATGAGTGCATTGAGGGTGCATAATTGAGCTATGGCATGTGGAATGATGGTAGGCAGCCAGAGGGGGAGTTTCTTATGTGATGCCATCATTTGCATTCACGTCTGTCTGCCTCCCATCATATGTTCATGCGTTGCATGCTTGGTGTGAGCGTGTGCAATAATTTGTGTTTGGTGTGGTTTGGAATTTCAGAGTGTGTGTGAATGTTATTTGGCTTGAGCAGATATCTGAAGTGACTCCTCTGCTCAAGAGCTTTCCGACAAACCAAGAATCGTTGAGATCGGAGCAAGAGCGACAAAGTTACGATCGTTCGAAGTTTTGTTTGTGATGCGACGACTTTGGGAACTTGTGGTGTGACTCAATATGGGGTACAGACTTTTGGGGGTTGGAAAATTCGTCCCCATCATTGTAGATGCTGCCAAGTGGTTGGGAGAAACCCAATTGGGTTGGCAAGTGTGGCCAACTTGGGTGAGGTGGATTGTGGAGGTTGGGAAAGTGACAAACGTAAAAGTGGGGTTGCTATAGGGAGGGGATTTGATGTGCTTATGGGGTTTCCTTGGTTGGGGACTCCTTGGGGACCTTCCCTCTCGTCCTCCTCTTCTCTCCTATCTGGTTTCTAGCGACTCCAACTTTCTTGTGTGAATCTTGTGAGACTCTTGTTATTGAGTTAAGTTCCTATGGCAGCATACCCCCCTGTGCGCCGAAATTTATAAGTCAAGAAATACTTCATCGTTTGATACGATTCAAATTGGGAATAGTAGCTACGCTCTAGAGCTACAACATATCCAAAATTGGTGAAGTTTGTGCAAGGCGTGTTTTGTCGACGGCGTTTCTTGTGAGCGCGACGATTCTGTCCAGAAATTGAGACCAACGATTTTGAAAAAATTAGGCCCCTAATCTTCGTAGACCTCGTCCTAAGTCTTTAACACGTAGTGTCACGTGTTCACATGTCACGCCATCCCATATGCAAAACGCAATGAGTCCGTCGCAACTCAAACGCAGGGGTGCCGGCCTACAGCAGCTCTCCTCCCTGTTTGCTACTTCTATCAATGCTGGACGCTACCTTGTCCCTGGCATCTCCTTCGAAGTTGGTAAGAATAATCACTGCATTCGCTCTGTTCTGGCTGATACTGACGGTGCCAGCACTGAGAAGGCACATGATTGACAGCTATGACCGAAATCGAAATACAACGCTATGCGCACGGCCCCTTTCCCCCGTAACTAAGCCATGGTGGGTTACACACCCTTTGCTCAAGAGTCTCTGGTGCCGTATGATGAGCAAAATAGTATGGCTAGCTAGCGTGCAACCCAGGTCCACTTTCAAGCTCAAATTGGGCCCGGTGGATTCAGTCTTGCGCACTACTGTTTTTTGCACTTGGTTTTGTGGCTCTGTTCCCAGCGCGTCAGTTCATTTTGTGTACTCCTCTCCCAGCAGAGCTTGACATTCGTTTTCGTTCCCCTGTCGCACAGGATAACCCACGCGGTGCCTTCGTTTGTTTGCGAGCAGACCCACCAATGCCAAGGTTCGCATTCGACCCTAAACATTGTTGTCCAATCGCATGTTTTTGTTTCAGCCTCTCTCCTAGAAATGACACGGGTCAAATAAATAGTGAGCCCCTTCTTGTCGAGCCCAGAGCACCCTCTCTAAATAGTGCCAGAGTTTCAAACTGGGCCAAGGGTTACTATTTTGCCTGCTCGCTTTAAGGCATCGGCGCTCGCAATATTACGGAGGATTATAGAGCCGTATGTGATGGCGGATCTGATGTCGTAAGCACTTGAGGACATTACATCACGAAGGAGCATGTTTGCGACATAACAACATTGCATCCCCGTCAAAGAATCAGGTACAAACATCAACATCAGGTACAAGAATCAGGTACATAACAACGTTGCTTGTCTCTCTCCCTGTTCAAGCAGGAGAATTGCGGATTCAAACGAGATAAGACTTCGTGAGCTGAAGCTGTGGATTGAAGAGCCTTGATCACGCGATTGAAGAGCGTGGATCTTGCGGATAGAAGAGCACGGATCCTGTGCAATGACTGGACAAGAGGGGATTGCCGGACACGGTAGAACGGTGGTACCTTGTGCAATGACTGGACAAGAGGAGGGGTCGGCCGGAGTGACAGGGACAGGTGTGGTAAGTGGGGTGAGTGTGGTGCAGTCGCTGTCAAATTATAATTCTATAGTTTGTGTAGTTCTAGTCTAGGTGTTCTCCCTTATGTTATTTTCTACTTGCACTAGGGCTAGGTTTTGCATATATCTTGTTTGTACTTTCTGTTTTAGTCAATTTTACATTGCGACATGGTATCAGAGCTAGGTTAACCCTAGCGAGATTTTCCCCTTAGGAAAAATCACTCGACTATCATGGGCCCACCTAGTCGCGCCCCGTCCTAGACCGCCCGTAGCGCGCTTACCTTAGCCCCGTCGCCTGTAGACCCCCCCCCCCCCCCCCCCGTCGCCAGTCGCCCGTCGCCCGTTTCCCCCCGTCGATAGCGGCCGTTTCCCTTTTTTTCCCGTCGCCCGTCACCCGTCGCGGCTGTTCGTTAGCGGGCCCCGCGGCCCTTCGTTAGCGGGCCCCGCGACCCTTCGTTAGCGGGCCCCGCGGCCCTTCGTTCGTGGGCCCCGAGGCTCCTTCGCTAGCAGGCCCCGCGGCCCCGTCGTTAGTCGCACGCACGCACAGCAGCAGCCGCGCGCACGAGCGACCCGTCGCCCCACCTGTTTCGCACCGTCATAACCGCCGCCCCACCCGCTGCCTTACCCGCCGCCCGGTCTGTTAGCCGTCACCTCACCCGCGACCTGCCGCCCCACGAGCAGAAATCCGCCGCCATACCAGAAATCGGACTGAACTGCACAGAACCGCACTGAACTGCACAGAACCGCACAGAACCGCACCCGCTGCCCCACCCGTTCCAGCCAGAGCTGCTGCCCCACCCGTTCCAGTCACCTCACCCGGAATCAGCCGCCCCACCCGGTACTCTCCACCCTGTAGAACCGCACAGAACCGCGCAGAACCGCACTGAACTGCACAAAACTGCACAGAACCGCGCAGAACCGCACTGAACTGCACAGAACTGCACAGAACCGCACCCGCTGCCCCACCCGTTCCAGCCAGAGCTGCTGCCCCACCTGTTCTAGTCACCTCACCCGGAATCAGCCTCCCCACCCAGTACTCTCCACCCCGCAGAACCGCACAGAACTGCACAGAACCGCACCCGCTGCCCCACCCGTTCCAGCCAGAGCTGCTGCCCCACCCGTTCCAGTCACCTCACCCAGAATCAGCCGCCCCACCCGGTACTCTCCACCTCGCAGAACCGCACAGAACCGCACAGAACCGCGCAGAACCGCACTGAACTGCACAGAACCGCATAGAACCGCACTCGCTGCCCCACCCGTTCAAGGGGCGGTCAATGCAGGTCAAGGGGCGGTCATTGCTGGTCAAGGGGCGGTCATTGCTGGTCAAGGGGCGGTCATTGCTGGTCAACGGGTGGGTTTGAGTGGAGGGAAAGAGTTGTTCCTTTCAGGCCAGAATGTGAGTGCTGGATGGGATATGAGTGAGGACGAGCAGTTGAGTGAGGGGACAGGAATCGTATGTGTGAGGGACGATGGAGTTATTATGTTCGAGGGGGGGGATATAAGTATGGAGGGGGGAGGCACCTCTGAGCTGGAAGGCGATGTGCCTATAGAGGAAGGGGATGCGACTGTGAGGGGAGAGGACTTGAGCAGTAAGGAGAGAGAGACACGTGGGAAGGAAGAAGATACGAATGGGAAGGAAGGAGAGATGAGTGGGGATGAGAGGAAGACGGGCGGGACGGGGGGAGAGATGGTTGGGGAGGAGAGAGAGGCGAGTGGGAAGGAGGGAGAGAAGTGTGGGGAGGAGGGAGAGAAGAGTGGTCGCAGCGGGCGACGGGGGGTCGCTACGGGCGACGGGCGACGGGGGTCGCGACGGGCCTAGGGCGACGGGGTGCCGGGCTAGGGGCAACGGGCGACGGGGGGCCGGGCTAGGGGCGACGGGCCTAGGGGCGTCGGGCCGGGCTAGGGGTGGCGACGGGGCCGGGGCCTAGGGGCGACGGGCGCGAGGCTACGGGCCGGGGCCTAGGGTCGAGATTGGCTAGCAGGGCAGCAGGTGGTGGGCCCAAAAAAATGCGGTCCTAGGAAGGGACCTGCTCTGAAACCATGTCAGAAAGAACGAACGAGAATGAATGAAATAGCAAAGAGTTGGGTACAAGTACTAACCCTAATTGAGTTGGACCCCTTATGGGCTACCCCACTACAGCCTACACAATGTAAGCTATACATAAGTTTGACACTGGTATCAGACTAAAGCACGAAACCAGAGACACACACATAGGAGGCCACTCCATTGGTCTTGACACAGGTGCTGTTCGCACTACAGCCCTTAACGAGTCAAGCATCTGGTTGGGGGCAGAGGCTGAGTAGAAGGGAGGGGAGGTTTTGAGGGGACGTGAATATAGTGGCGGTAGGACGCAAGATACTATCAGGAAAGGAGGGGGCGATAGGATTTTACCTAAAGCAAAGGGATGTGAAAGAAGGGGTGAGAATACAGTGCGAGAAAAACTACCAGCACATGCAAGAGGCAGATCACAGATGCTTGATCATGAAGTACACATTAGCCTTTGAACCCAGCGGCACAACACTCAGCACCTACCAACGCACGTCCTGCCGTCCGACTGAAGCACGAAACTAGAGTCACAAACACAGGTGGGCACTCTAGTAGTCATATCACACGTGCTGTTCGCACTACAGCCCTTAATATCACATGCTGGGTGAGGGAAGGATGGGTGCAGGGGACGCGAAATGAGGCCCTTAATAGCACCGATATTCTTCAACAAAGGCCGGGGCGAGGATTTGAATGAGAAACGGCATTTTAAAAAAAATGACAGATAGGAAGAGAGGTACAGAAAGGAGGAGAGGAAGAGGTGCGAGAAGAAGAACATATATCATGTGGACAGAACAGAAAGTGCATCGACAAGAGGAAAGAGAGATGACGAAACAACTCGTCGTGTTCTTCTGTACAGCTTACTTGCAGGTTTGGAGGATGACTGCAGCAGCCTTTGGTCGCACATGCTGAGAGCGGGTGCGTGGAGGGGAGAGGAAGGGGGAAGGTGGGGGGAGCGGGGGAAGGAGGATGGAATGATAAGCTAAGGGAAGCGAAGGGCAGCCCTGATCAGCTTGTGAAACAATATTACCTTTTTTAATGGGGAAAGCTGGAAAAAGGGGGAAAAGGGGAGGAAGGAAAGTGGAGGAAAACCTGAGAGCACGTCAGAGTATGATAGTGAGAACACCAGAATACAATGAGGGCATGAGCGTATACCGGCGAGAGCACCAGAATACAGTGGGAGCATGAGAGTATACTGAGAGCATCTGAGAATACAGTGAGGGGAGCATGAGAATATAAGAGCATGAGAGAATAATGAGAGCATGTTAGTTATACTGATAGCTTGAGAGTAGAGTGAGAGCACGAGAGTAAAGTGAGAGCATGAGAACATGAGAGTAATGTGAGAGCATGAGAGTCAAGTGAGAGCATGAGAGTAAAGTGAGAGCATGAGAGCATGGTAGTGATGGTAGAAATCATACATGAGAACATGAAAACAGCCAGTGCAGCGAGCACGAAGCCAGAGCATCGCGCCACAACCGCCGGCGCGCCGCGCGAAACCATGACGCCGATGCTGGTGCTCTTCATGTTGCTGATGACGCTGGCTGCGAATGACGTCGCCGCGCCGGCGTCGCCGCTACTCGTGTTGCCGCCGGTGTCGCACGGTGCTTGCGTTGCGATTGCGTTGTCGCCGCACTTGCGTTTGTCGGTGATGTCGCCGCTGATCCGGCTGTTAGGTGTGTACGCGGCCGCGGATAGTGTTTCCGTCGCTCGCGATGCCAATTTTAAGCAGCCGTTGTCGCTTCAGGGGATCTCAGATAGAAACCGACCTGCTCCTAGTGACGCCACAGAGTGCACTTGGCGAGTTAGGTAGGATCGTTCTAACGGGCTCGGAGCAAGGAGTCCGTGGCACTTTGAATCTCTGTAATCGCCTGAGAATTGAAAGAGATATTGCTTATAATGCAAGGATGGGTACAAGTGACGAGTTGAAGTTGACTCTCTAGCATTTTCTCTCTGGTTTTATAGCTAAAACATACAAGCACAATTGTAACATTGAACCGCGTGCGACTCGATGGAAATTCGGACTCAGGATCGCGTCCAATTTCCGCGACATCCGCGTTCACAATTTCGGACTTTGCCGGGTTCGTTTCTTCACGCCGTCAATCGTGTGTTACAGGGAACAATAGCGAGTTGCACTCTTGCTATTTTCGGGCATGCTTGTGGGGTTGCCAAGTGTCGCCCCCACAAATATTCGGACCCAACCAAGGGAAGTTCGGTTGCGTGGCGACACGGACAATCCACCGTCACCCCAACCTTCCAAGAACGAACCCTCCCTTGGTCCGAGTCAAGGGAGGTCTTTCGTGTGGGGGGCAATCCCGTCCCCCACACTTCCAACAATCTCACGACGGATAAGCGAGTGTCAGAATCCCAACCACTAGACCATTGGGATAAAAGGGCTTGTTAAGTAGCGGGTCAGTGCGCCCATAACCCCCCAGGCCAACATGCCTGTAACCCTTCCCTAGGATCAATCGGGGATCACCAGTGGACCTCTGACACCCCCCCGCACTGGGATGCCCGAAGTGCACACACTGAGATTCGAACCCGAGACCTTCGCTCTGATACCATGTCAGAATCCCAACCACTAGACCATTGGGATAACAGGGCTTGTTAAGTAGCGGGTCAGTGCGCCCATAACCCCCCAGGACAACGAGCCTGTAACCCTTCCCTAGGATCAATCGGGGATCACCAGTGGACCTCTGACACCCCCCCGCACTGGGATGCCCGAAGTGCACACACTGGGATTCGAACCCGAGACCTTCGCTCTGATACCATGTCAGAATCCCAACCACTAGACCATTGGGATAAAAGGGCTTGTTAAGTAGCGGGTCAGTGCGCCCATAACCCCCCAGGCCAACATGCCTGTAACCCTTCCCTAGGATCAATCGGGGATCACCAGTGGACCTCTGACAGCGAGCCCTTGAAGATCAACGGCCCAAAGCGTCTGCCGGGATTTTAGCGTCCAAGGTACAGCTTGTACTAAGCGCAAGGTGTCAGAAGAATGAACGAAAATGAAATGAACTATGAAAGAGTTGGGTACAAGTACTAACCCTAATTGGGTTGTACCCCTTATGGGCTAACCCACTATAGCCTACACAAAGTCAGCACTATAACATTATGACACACCCCCATAGGCAAAGTGGGGGAGAACAAGGGGTCACAAGACCAGTCAAGAAAGCAAAACAAGCTCAAGGTGGATCACAAAGTCACCACACAGTCCGAGCACAAGCAAAGGGCCACAAGGCCAGTTCACATGGAGAGTTATATAAAAGAGAACAAACAATACAGTGATCATACCCTAGCAAGTGTAAGCATGCAGGTCTATATATAGATCACAGTACAAGCTGAGTTAAGCAGTGAGCAAGTGAGGCAAAGTAGGCACAAGGCCTAACACAGTAGAGAAGCGCTGATGATCACCAGGTGGAAGTGCCTTGGTGAATATATCAGCAGTGTTGGCCCTAGTGGCCACGTACGTAAGACGAAGCTGGCCACGCTGCTGCAACTCTCAAGCAAGGAAGTATCGTAGAGCGATGTACTTCATTATGTGCTCCAGTCTGTGGTCCTGACACAAGGCAATCATGGCCTTGTTGTCTACGTACAGAACTGGAGGCGAACGAGCCTGCTCTCCCAAGTCAGTCAGCAGGTAGGTGAGCCAGCGTAGCTCCTGTGCAGCCATGGCACCGGCGTAGATCTCAGCCTCACAACTGGAGTTGAGAACCGAAACCGAGCGGGTAGACCGCCAGGAAACAGAGCCGGAACCGAGGATGAAGGTGTAACCCTGTGACGACCGTTGCGTAGCTGAGTCGTCAACCCAAGAAGCGTCTGCGTACCAGTGAGGACAACTGGACCCGTCCTCCAAGCACGAGCCCCAAGCCCAACGTACTGCACAAGTAACGCAGTACCCTCTTCGCAGCATCCAAGTGCACCATTCGGTGCCTACTAGGAGCCACGTAGCGAGCCAGAAGGCTGAGAGGGTACGCGAGGTCAGGTCGTGTGCACGTCATCAGGTACATGAGGCAACCCACAAGCTCTGGGTACGGACCACTCGGCTCTACGGACTTGTCCGAAGGTGGAGCTGAGAGCGAATGGCTGGTAGACAGAGGAGTGGGCTCTGACCAGGAGAACTGGAAGCCAAAGCGCTGAAGGACCTGGTGCACCATGTGTGACTGAGTCAGGGTGATGGTGCGCCGTGCTCTGTCCCGGGTGATCTGCAAGCCAAGATAGCTGCGCAATTCACCCAAGTCAGTGCAGGTGTGTCTCTTCTGCAGCTCCGACTTCACAAGGGTCAGTGCCTCAGTGTCAGCAGTGGCAAAGAAGAGGTCGTCGACGTAGACGAGGACGTAGAACGGCGGCAGCGACGTTTCGGTGCGTAGAAACAGCGGCAGTAGAAGGAGTAAAGCCCAGAGCCGTAAGTGTAGTCCTCAGTGTGTCGTGCCACTCGCAAGGCGCCTCGCAGAGACCGCAGACTGGCCGCCGGAGGCTCCACTGGGTACCCGCAGGAAACAACCCAGTGAAGCCAGGTGGGCGGCGCAGCCAGATCTCCTCGTGCTGGCTGCTCTGCAAGAAAGCTGTACTGAAGTCCAGAGAGTGCAACTCGTAGTCACGCTGAGCAGCGACGTGCAGCAACACCCCAAGAGTAGTCATCTTTGGGGTGGGGGAGAAGGTCAGGAAGTAGTCGACCCCCTGTCGCTGACTCAAGCCTCGAGCAACGTAATGCGCCTTGAAGGCAGGCGGAGAACCCGGCGGCCGCTTCACCCTGAAAATCCACATGCCATCGACTATGTTCGCCCGAGACGAGGGAACTGTGTTGACAAAGGTGCCTGTGGACTTCCAGGATGCCATCTCGGCATCCATGGTGGCTTGCCACTGAGAGGTGTTATAGTCCTTGTTATAGTCACAATAGCCTTGAATGTGCCTAAAACGAAAGATAGAGTGCACAGACGGATTTCTGCACAGAGGCTTCAAGTGTTGATAGCGTTCTGCTCACAGCTTTAAATGAGTTGGTATAAATTGGATCTGGAGCGTCTTGATGTCGCCTACACGAGGCAAGTTGAATCACACGATTTCATCAAGCGTTGACGACGCAACGTCGGTTTGAACAAACGGCACTGTGGCAGCCACTATAGACTTAGAACACAAATCTAGGAAGAGTTAGGAGTTGGGAATGACTCCCAGCTCCTACAAACCCCAAGAGCCGAGGTACAGTGATGTGGAACAGTGCCACACTGTCCCCAACTACGAAGAGTCTCGAAACTACCCTCCACAAGGGCCTACACCAAGAGAAATGTTACACTACACAAAGTAATGCAACTATTCTCACTATCTTAAAGTTTACCCTTTTTTGGAGAGCTTCGAAATCACTTGAATCTTGAAACCAAGGCTCTGGTTCTTCAAGATAAAATCTTCCTTTAGTTCTTGGAATTCTGCTGCGCACACCTGCGACACGCCGAACGTTCCACACACGACAAAATAAAAAAAACGCACACGACACGCAAAAAACGACGTGACACGCGACTAGCGATAACTCGCTATTGACTCGACACACACATTCACAACCATGCCTCATCATTCACACACTATTATAAGCATGAAATATATATTATCTCATGCCCTCATACCATTCCATGCTCACACGCATGCACGCACACGGACAACAAGCCGAATGCAAACCGTAGGGTTGCACCAACAAGAGGAGTAAGGACCCGTGATCGCCTCTGCGTAAGAGCGCGGGGTCGGGATGTCTGGTGCATCGGGGTCTCCCTCAGGGGCAAGCAGCTTGGAAGCGAAACGAGGTACAGCAGCTGCAAGACACTCAAAGTCCTCTTGCCTGTCCTCAAGGACGTTCGTGCCAAGAGCACACTCACCCCCGACGGACGGAGGACTAGCAGACTTAGACTTAGCAACAAGAGCAGTG